CGGCCTCACAGATGTCCAGCGTTAAGTACAAGTACCTACATTTATTTTCAAAAGACAGACTTCAAACATTTTGGTCACTGTTTGCTATTAGATTTTTAGGAGTTCCCGGATGTATCTTCGGACTTCTAACGGAGTTAAGTGCTTAACGGAACATTGGGTTCGGTTAAGCACCGTCCAGAGTTTTACCCAGATTTTTTTTTAAATCGCTTAAAGTACCACCAAATTTAGGACTTCCTCCTCTCTTGACGTCGGTTGAAAAGTATTTATTCTTTTCCTTCTCACTCGTTGAATTTAGTCGAAAGCGACATTCGAGGTGCTACAAGTCTACAACATCTCTGAGAGTATCTATCAGTGGCGGTGTTTATTTACGAATAAGCGGATAGTTTCGCCATCCTTTTTAAATGAATTAAATAGATAATCTGTGAAGTCGAAATGATTCGAAGTTATCTGGAGTTAGTAGTCGCATATTCTTTATTTATGTAGTTGTTAATTCCTAGAACTCGAATAAACACTAGTTATCAGTACTTGGAATTCATCTAAGCACTCGTAGTAGTAATTTCATAGTTGACTCTATATGAGAATAATAAGGTCGGATTTTGTTGTATTTAGCGAGTTTATATTTAGTTATGTTGTTTTTAGCGATTTACGGCACGATAAAATATTGCTGTTTCATGTCTTTACAGATAAAGAAATAGATTTTGCGTATAAATACTAATACAACCTTTTTTATATTTTTGAAAAATAAACCGTCAAAAACGACTTCTTTCCTTATTAAGCATATTTGTGAAGCGTAATTGGGATACGCACTTTCTAAGATTATTGTCTCTCCTTTCTCTTGCTAATATACCCACTAGGTGGAACCGGTATAAGAGCAGGACATGTTAAAGTTTCTTATATTATTGGCTAGATTTTGCCACACCAGCCGCCTTCCAGACATTAACCCTTTTTGTCACCTTCTCACTTACTAAAATGATCCCTATATGTTATATATAGCGAAAAAAGTCAATTTCTTCACGAAGCGAGAAATAAAAAAGTGTATTTATACAACCATTCCATTCTAGATCTCCAGTAAATCGAGGATCCTACTCTAAAATTGGAACGATGCTGTGTCAATAAATATGGCATGTAGGTGTCGGTTGCCAGTAAGAAACAAAAGTATAAATAAAGTTTGTGCGTACAGGTATAATAGTTAATTTACATACTTCATACATGAGCCTCAACTCACGCGTTATGTCCCGGATAGGATTTACAGAGATAGAGAATGACGTTGAGGTTATTACGACCCAAATAAATGAATCGGTAGAAAGTGTTTTATCTATATATTAATATGTGTAGCAAAATCTTTGTACCCTTTTTTACGAAAATTGCGCGGACGGAGGAGGATTTCCCATACTTATAGTTTATGTAGAGAAAGAGTGCAGAATACTAATATTTTTTTAATTATGATTAGAAAACACATTAAATCAATAAAAAAAAAACATTACACACTACCATGTATAATTAATTATGGTCGAATTTCGACCACTAGGCGACCACTAGTAGAAATAATTAAGCTTTCGTTACCTTTAATTTTTCTACTTTTCTAAAAACTTGCCTTTCTACATAATCCCACCTAATAGCAAGTGAAGACGACTCCCAATCAGTGAATAATTCCGGCGGGGAATTTTGGCAAATATGAAAAGACGGTCTCAAAGTAAACCTAAACAACAAACAATCATTGGATCACCTACATTTCATGAAGGGATGGAATCCACGACAGAACGGGCAATAATTATTCGAGCATTGCAACCATCGCATTAATTTTACTGGGTAGCACCTTGCAACAGTTTTCCCTGTTGCACGAATGGGCAGGTCCGTCCGGGTTAGTACCACGACCTTACAGAATACCGGCGTGAAGTGGTAGTACTTCTGCGTTTCATCTGGATAGTGAAGTGACCGGGGCCCACTTCGTTTAGATGTGGTAGCGCATCTGCCCTACATATGTCTGCATGTGTCCATGGGCGGCGGTTGTCACTTAATGTCAGGTGAACCGCCAGCTGTCATAAAAAAATAATCAGATAATAATTAGAAAACCTAATTTTGGAAAATAATGCGTTCAACAATCAGGCTTTTTTAATATTCTAAACAGTTTCTGTAAGACGAAGCTGTAATAATATTCACAGCACAAGTTACAACTTACTTTTTAAGTACAAGTTTGTGCCGATGTTTTCCGCATATAAGCTCGGCAATGAATTGCATTGTCTATCTTTCTATTTGTTAGTCCAGTATCTTTTCTAAGAATATCTTATCCATGCGTTACTTGCATATAGGCATTAATAATCACATTGATATAAAGACTGTTCGGTCGAAATCTACCGTTTTCATTATTTAGGCCAATAAAACATTAATTTGGTCTACCTCACGGGAGCCCCTCGTCTTAATTTAACTTCGCGGCTACGTTGTTACTAACCTTAGTTTAAATTATAAAGGTCTATTTGACTACCCGGGATTACAAACGTCGGTTTGGACGGAGCCGCATGCATGCATAATTTCTATCAGCGCCGCTTCCGACGCGAAAACTGGAACGAATAGCCAGCAGGACAGCTTTAGAAATAAGCAAACAACGCATGTTTTTATTCATTATTAGTACTACCGACCCGCCCCGGCTTCGGGGCAATGTATTATACATATAAACCTTCCTCTTGAAACTCTATCTAGTAAAAAAACCGCATCAAAATCCGTTGCGTAGTTTTAAAGATCTAAGCATACAAAGGGGCAGACAGACAGCAGGACGACTTTGTTTTATACTATGTAGCGATGTGAGAAGTTTCCGAGCCAGTTAATACATGTGATCTTAAGTGTTAACCGCCGACAATGGATAGCTACATCTGTGGAGTTGTAGATACGAGTCCAATCTTCAAAAGAGGAGCCTCCGTTTACCTCAGCGAAGAAACGCAAAGCTATAATAGTACTTCCACTTTACGCAGTCTTCTGCAATCCCAGGCGAGCCCGCCCTTTCGTGAAGCAAATTGCTGATGATTTCTATATCACAGCAAGGTATGTCGATGTAAATCATAGTTGAGTTTAGTAAATATTCTATCCATATTTTTTCTAACTGACGACCCGAATGGCATTGTGGGTAGCGTACCTGCCTCCTGCGCGAGAGGGTGTGGGTTCGATCCCCACTACAGGAAAAATATTGTGTGATGACATAGTGTTTTTCTAGTGTCTGGGTGTTTATATATGTATAATATGTATTTTTTTACAAAGGAAAAGTATGTTTAAGTATGTTTTTCAGTTTTCTAGTTCCCATAGTACAAGCTTTGCTTAGTTTGAGACTAGAGAATGTTGTGTAAAAATGTGTCCTAAAATTTTTATTTATTTATTTAGCTCGCATTTTATTTGCCGGTTTGCGTGTTCGGTTTCATCGAATTCTACAAACTTTGAGAAGTAGATGGCGATGAGTTATAAGCCACTGTTTTGTGTGCATAGTTAATGCTATTTTATCATATGTATTTATTTTGATTGAACTAAATTACCTTCTCAAAGCATTAAATAAATTATCTCCAAGACAAACACCAATGATATTGTTAAATTGAACGTAAATAAAAAAAAGTGAAATTCAAACGCAAAGTTATCGTTTACATCACTTTTTTAAATAGGTGAACCTTCTTAATGCTAAACCACATATCGTATTCTTCTATAACAAGAACATTTAACTTATCCAAGAGACCTTTTACCTTATAAAAAGATTGTAGGTACTGAACTTCTTATATGTATCGTATTCAAAGTAGGGAAGGGAAGGTGTGAAATACATACGATGCGGAAGGACATAGCTGTTCTATTCGTTATAATAGATTTTAAACTATTTCTACTTTCAAAAGTCAAGAGCGATCGGCAAAATTAGCTTCACAATCGACCGGTCCATCGATATATTGCTGACCCCTATTATAAAGCAATAGCTTATTTTTACAATGTATATACATAAAAACAAAATAATCACGTAAGCTAGCGTACAATGCGTTATCAGTTATCGGTATTTTAACGTCGGTTAAAAGATCTTCATCCTCAACATCAGGAAGACGACGTCCAGTGTTGAACAAAGGCCTCCCCTTAGAACACCACAGCGACAGACAGTTTGCCATTTGCATTAGTAGATATTAGAACTTGTCATCGTAAAAAAAACAAAAAAAAAACAAAACAAATCAAAACCATATCGTGAAGATCCCGATTCTACATCAAAGTACATGCCATTCATATCTATTTCTATTTTTTGTTAATAATAATTGTATAAAACTTAATGAGCGTACTCTGATAGATAATTCAGGCCATTGTAGATTAAACGGGAAAAGACGTCGTACATTCGTAGTTTATTGTCTGTGATTAGTATAAACAGTACGACAACTGATGTGGAATGATTTTTTTTTTTCATTTGAATTAGCTTGTAATAGTCTGTTTTTCTTTAAGTATATAAGTAATCATGTAATACTTGTTACGTCGTATTAAATCATTATAAGTATTAAATAATAGTCCATATAGAGAATAACGATCAGATTTCAGTTTTTTAGCTGTAATTTCTTTTCACGCAGTCAAGTTTCATAATTCATAAAAAAATAGGCAAAGTCGCGGTTTGCAGCTAGTGAATTGATCTACATTAAAATTTGTTAAAAGAAGCTTCGTGTAATTTTCTGAATAGATTTAGGACATAAAACACAAGTACATAGCACTAGACATTCAAACTAACTTTTGTTTAGACAGCTTCAATTTAAACTATTTTCTTTATACATCTCAAATTAGCTCTGGACGTTAGTATTGAGTAATATTAAATACACAACAATCCCATTTGCATTTCAATTAAATTGAAAACGCAATCTCAAATGCAAGAATTAACATAAGCGTAATAAATAATATGTTTTACGAAGACGCTCCGAAAACTTTATTAACCGCACGGCCTTCGAGTTGCATGTGTATTTGTTCAAATGTAGAAACTATTACAATACATATTTACCAAAATTACTCACCCATTACCAAATTCCTCGGCGAGCAACATAACACACTTGCGAACACCACAAGTAACTTCATTTTGTTTATAAAAACTTTTTCGAACTCAAAATCGGCAATAGACTTCACAGCTGGGCCGAATCGCGATTAGCATCACTGTCATAGTTCTTTAAAAAAACTTCTAGTTCCCTTTCCTTGCGCGATACTTTTTAAAAAGGCGGGAATATTGCATGTAAGTGAGACGCGGGCTCTCTTAGCAGTGCCTTACTCGTTAATGATAAACGGGTCACGCTGAGCTAAACTGATAAGTTTTCTGCGCATGTCACAGCAATTGCAGACTACACTACAGGTCACAGTTCTCTATTAGGTAAACTTATTTACCAAACACTAACTGTCAGTCCTGATTTTTTAACAAAGTAAACAAAATCAATATCTGTTAAGGTTAAATAAAACTCGCTAAATCTTATTTAATTCCTAATAGATTTTCGTGAATAATTTTAATAATTAAACTAAGCATTGAAATTCAAATTTAGTAATCAAAACATCGGATTATCAATATCAACAATTAAACTATCAATTTCAATTTTTTTCTCTTTGCCTTATTTAAATAAATATTTTAGGAAATATTTGTACACGTTATCTAGTCCCAAAGTAAGCAAAGCTTGTACTATAGATATTGGAAACTAATAGACATACTTTCCTTTTCTAAATAAATACATATTATAGATATATAAACATATTACATTACATATAATATTTTTCCAGTATTGCGGATCGAACCCACACCCTCAGGTGCTGGAGACAGGTCCACTTTCTACTACGCCAATCGGGTCCTCAACACGCATGACTGTTTATTTGAAAACCTTTACATAGTATAAAACAAAGTCGCTCCCGCTGTTCGTACGGTTAGATCTTTTAAACTACGCAACGGATTTAATTGCGTTTTCAGCAATAGATAGAGAGATTCAAGCTGTAGGTACATGCATATTATATTAGAAAAAATACGATGAATTCAAAGATTTAATGTTATGTGATAAACTTTTTTTGCGCTTCCATTGTAAACGCTGACTAAACCTTATGAAATTGGTCAAATTAATGTACTACGGAATTGTACATCTTCAAAATTTCGATAACAGTATATGTTTATCTGCTAAGGATAACCCAAATATTACAAAAAAATATGGGTTATTTACCAAGCTATTTTAAACAGTACAGTATTGTTAGTAGGATAGTTAATTGGATAAGGCAATTAAATACAGTAGATACGTAGTGCATTTCATATACATCAAAATTGCACCTTATATCATATGGTTAAAATGTATATCTTACGTTATATTAGACTATCAGGAGCCGTGATACCTGTGTCCGGGCGCTCGCCTTTGATTCAATATACTCGAGCAACCTGCAAAATGGAGGCCTTTGTCCAGCAGTGGGACATGTATAGGCTGATACTTTTATATCAGACTGCGAGACGGGGCGCGACCGCGAACTAATCACACTCATCCTGATGAAGAATCCGATCGGTCCAATCCGAAACTTGTCGGTACATACACTGGTTTAACGTTAGTTTAGCCGTCTTATTATAACGTTTATAATGTCTCACGAAATTTATAACAATTTTAGTGTTAATGGTGTTTATTTAAAATAGACTCGCTTCCAAAAAACAAACAGAACCTTAACAGAAATACTCATTTCTTTTGTTACTAATAGTTTGTTTGATTATCCTCATGATTTCGTAAATAAATAGTTTAGTTTTATCATAACATTTTGATTAAATTAATAACAAAGTATTTTAAAGATTGAAGAAGTCAAACAGATTGCATTTTTCTGGACAAGCTTCCGAGTATACAGTAATACCCCGAATTTACGCGATAGGTGGGACCGAGCGCTATCCGTGTAAGTCGAATCCGCGTGAGTCGGGGCACAATTTTGCATGTAAAGACATACAAAGTATGTTTAACCTTAATTGGTACCGGAGATTAAATAAAATAATAATTTAGGGAATAAATGTTAAAGTAATAGTAGATAATATGACAAATTATCGTGGTGCGAATACGGAGGTTGTGGGTTCGAGGGTTGGAGAATATGCTCTCCAAAATTGTAACCTTTTTTCAATTGAATTGAGGGCTATCTTGACTTCGCGGCGTTCACAGAAAAGACGAATAGTCCAGAAAATTAAAAAATCGTGTAACTTCGAATTCGCCTAAGCCGGGATATTACTATACAGGGAGGCTTTTCTAAGTGTATCCATTTCTTTTTATTAAATTCTAGACATAAATAAAATTATACAAAAAATTATAAATATTTAAAATCACTCGTAATTGATTAATTACATTCATTTGAATTTATCTCAGAAAGTGCATGATTTATCTCATTTATTTTACGCGCGATCATTCATAACTAACACGCACGCAAGTTCGTTTCAAAAGTAAACGATGCATTTATGAATGACTACCGCATTGTAAACAAATTCTGTTTTTTAGGGAATAGAATTTCAATAAACGATTATACTACCGAGACTGAACCTTCTGTGAATTTGGGCACCTTTAGAAAAGCCACCCTGTATATTGATTAGTTGCTTGCGGTATACGTTACCACTTACGGAATGCAATTACCACGGATTCACACTCTTTAGCTTTCTGATGTTCTCTGTGGAGCTGACTGCAATTTTTTTTATGATACAATGTTCAAGGGGTTTGAAGTCAGGATTTAGAACTGGCCCATTCAAACGATGAATTTGGACTTTTAGCATTTTTCTCGTTGGCGTACCGAGAGGCATAAGTGCCATAAAAGTTGAGTAATTAATTAGAATTTCCATTATGAATACGTTTAATAATTATAATGAGACTTACTCTGTGCAATCCAACGAATTTATCCCGGTCCAAAACTTAACAAATTCTCCACTATAAAGTGTATTTTTTTTTTCAAAACACGCCTCTCCAAAGCGATCTCTTGGCGCACGCGCCGAAGTCGGTTTTTACCGTATAGTGGTATCCTGACGTCATCTGAGAACATTACCATCTGAGAGCAATCTAACTCTATAGGGTTGCAATCTAACTAACACCAATTGGTGTAATTTGAGTGCTTCAGTTTCGGTGCGCTTTGGTCATATCTATCAATATTTGTATATAATATCATTGTTGGTCTTTTATGTGTTATGACAGCCACGTGTTCCACGAAATGGGCTAAAACCCAGAAAGAATTAAGTTTGTTTTATAATGTCCATATTTGAGCACTTTAAAGTATTCACGGGACGAACTCCATCAGTTAAGGCCCATTTACACGGTGCAAGTTTCTTGCCTGTTGTATACAATTAAATTGAAGCAATAAATGAGTTGCATGGTCTAAACAGCACATAACATTCTTGCCTGTTGAACAAGACTTGCTTCAAGTTTTGTTTCAAAACTTTCCTTGGTGTAAACAGCTCATACAATAATTTCTTAAGCAATTCTTGCATTCAATTTTCTCTCTTCATTTGCAAACATGAGTGCGATGAGTGAGGGTATTTAATCCTTGCTGTTCTTTTGAGGATAGAAATATTGAGAAAAGGTCGTAAAAAAAGTTGGACAAAAAACTAAATAATAATATATGGATAATAATAAATAAATCTCAATAGAAATATATTAAATCGGCATAATCTAACTTGAACACTTATTATTGACCCATTTTTTTTAAATACCCTTCTATATCTGCGTGTAAACTGTTGCTTACAATTCTTGATGGTCAATTATTGCGCGCAATTTATTGCATTCAATTATTGCTCTTGTATGTACAAGAAAATGGCATCGTGTAAATGGGCCTTTATGCTCTAATGTTACAGTTCCGGCACATCGGCAGTTTTTTTATTATATACTTTACTCCGATAAGATACGTTAAATAGTTATGTTTTGTTGATTCGCATCAATGCAAGAAATCATTATTAGTAAAAGTAAAGTAAAGTAACAGCCTATACATGACCCACTGCTGGGCAAAGGTCTCCTCTGTACAGAGGGTATCAGGGCATAGTCCACCACGCGGCCCCACTGCGGATTGGCGGACTTCACATATCTTCGAAAATATTTCTTTTTGTTATTATTTCGAAAATATGCAGGTTTCCTCACGATGTTTTCCTTCACCGCGGAGCACGTGATAAGTCAGCACTTAAAGTTAAAACTTAATCGGTGCCGGTACCGGGGATCGAACTCAGGTTGCTCGAGTATATTGAATTAAAGGCGAGCGCCCGGACACTGAGCTATCACGGCTCATTATTAGTACTAGATAGATTTTGTTTTCGTCTTAGAATCTTTAGTTATTTAGTCACACAAACTGATTGTCAGTGAATGAGCCTGATCATAAAGCTATAATTGGTACAGCGAGGGATCTGATACGGCCATCGGGTCAAGTGCGTAAGTACCTACTGATAACAAGTTCGACGGGTTACCCAACCGCCCCGGCTTCTTGTAGAAAAATCTCTAACAACACGAGATAAGTAGCGTTGTGTTTAGTTTTCTCTACATATCCACGCTTATTTTATAAGTTACCATCACTTATTTAAACAAACAAATGGAAATTACACAAATTTATTTTTTTATCCATTGCATAATATCTAATAATACATCATCGCCAGATAAAATCACAGTGTAAATATTTGATTTGATATTATGGTTATTACTAAAACATGGATTACTAAAACACTGCATTTTTCAGTTTCTTTTAATAAATATTTTATGGCCTGGTAACAAAACCTTTAAGGCAGCTGCGTCGTTTGTGCACAGATAATAAAATATTTACGAGTCGTCTGACATTTTTCACAGCATTAACATTTATGTTACGATTTCGGGCCGTCGTGAGGTGTGAAATGAAGGGATGGGAAAAAGAATAGACAAGAAACGTAAGTAAACGTAGAATAAATAATTAGGTAGGTCTGTACGCAGATCTCATCAGAATACATCATTACTAATAAAATTTCGAGCATCGTCCAGTATCGCGGTCAATTGGAAGTTAACGCCTAATTGCCCTCAACGAAGCATGGTGTGCTCAGCAAGACAGTACTTCAGGTCGGCTTAAATAAATTCGGACCCACATGGAGTAAAAGTAAAAAATTAAAGTAACAGCCTAAAAATGTCCCACTGCTGGGAAAAGGCCTCCTCTGTACAGAGGGTATCAGGGCATAGTCCACCACGCGGCCCCACTGCGGTTTGGCGGACTTCACTTTCTTGAATTTTTTTTGTTAGTATTTCGAAAATATATGGGGTTCCTCACAATCTTTTCCTTTACCGCCGAGCACGTGATAATACAGCACTTAGAATTAACAATTTCATTGGTGCTGGCACCGGGGATCGAACTCAGGTTGCTCGAGTAAATTAAGTTAAAGGCGAGCGCCGCGACACTGAGCTTTCACGGCTATCCGGGCATTTAGAATACAACTCAAAACACGGGCGCTAACAATTCGAGGTGCATTCTATAATAAAAAGGTCAATAATAAAAATCATTATACACAAACAATAAACCTTTATTGGAGTACATCAAGAATAATTGCAGATCCCAATGATTGTACATTTCGCTACTACTTTCTAACCTTCCTGTTCACTTTCCCGTATATTTCCGGGAAAGCTTCCTTGCAGTAGGGCAGCGTGTTCCTCAGCTTGTCGTAAAGCGTGTGGTCGAACATTTGCCGGAACTCTTCTAGAGTCGTATATGTATCGGCGTACAGCATTTGGAAGCCTTTGTTCTTAATCACAAACTCCTCCACGCGTCTAGTCGATGGCACCTTCGAAATATACAGAATTTTGAGAAAAAAAATCAATAATTCTACCGTTTTGTCATTATTGTGATGTGATTACGTGTGACGTGATACATAAAACAATAATTAAAAATAAATAAGAATAAAGAAGAGTTCCATTTTCGGTTATGAACTGTACCATGACCCAAAAGTTGAAGGAAAATATTATTAGGCGATTTAGAATTCAATTACGGTAATATTTTCAAGATTTAAAATCTTATTATAATTGTTCACTTTACAGTTAAATTTGTAGAAAAAATGGACGTATTTTTTCTAACGTTTCATCTTATGTGCACAGATTAGCACTATAAAAATTTAAATTTCGTTTTACAGTTCTAGAGGAGGTGATTTAGATTCCATTTAGTAAATCATACGGTCTCGAATCCCTCGGCTTTCGGCACGCCGTAGACTCCTATGTCGACGAACATCTGCCAATCGCCAGAGCTCACGCGCAGCTGGCCGGGCCGGTTGAACACTTTAAAGGGGCAGAGCCATATCGGATACACCTGGGACAAGAGTTATTTATTAAAACAAACAAAGAACAAGTTGATAGTGGCCACGTAGCAGTTATTGGGAAGTACCATGACATAACAGAAGATCGACTTGAAGTGGACGTGTTGTCACTGTTGCGTTTACCCAGACGAGTTAGGTAACCGGAGCCCACGCTTTCAAAGTTTGGCAAACCCCACATGTGTTATCGATGTCCACGGCGACGATAATCATTTATAATTATGTGAACTGTTCGTTTTCCAGCTTATAACATAAATATTTTAGGACACATTTTTTTACACAACATTTTCTAGTTCCAAACTAAGCAACGCTTGTACTAGAAAATAATGATATGGGTACTAGAAAACTGATAAACATACTTATCTTTTGTAAATAAATCCATATTATAGATATATAGACACCCAGACACTAGAAAAACACTATGTTCATCACACAATATTTTTCCAGTAGTGGGGCTCGAACCCACACCCTCTGGCGCAGGAGACAGGTACACTAACCACTACGCCATTTGGGTCGTCACTTATAACACAAAAAAGTAACTTATTCATTGGGGTTATATTAGTGGTTACTCTTTACTATCGGCACAACATGTAAATCGTGTTGTTAATGGTATGGCTAGGTATTCGCTCTTTGATAAAAGTGTACACAAACACTTGCCCCGAGTGGGAATTGAACCCATGACCACCGGCGCGGAAGCCAATGGCTTAGCAACAGCGCCAACGAGTCGAAAAAAATATAAATTTTAAACAATACCAGCCATAAACTGAGTACTGTGCAATGACTAAGTGAATGCCACGCAACATCTTCGGCTGTTGCAAACATGAGAACACTTGTTAAAGTAACAATCGCGGTCACACAGAACACGACCGTAAGGTGGTAGAAGCATTTGCTCTTGAATTTGTTCTTTTACATTTCTTCCAGTCTGGGAACCTGGAAACTCGAAAATTCTAAGCTTGGAAACCTACCTGCAAAACATGATTTCGTAAATGTCTACGCATGGGCACCGATAGTCACATAACGTCGGGTCAACCGCCTGCTATGTTCTCACATAAAAACTGATTCAAAGTACAATTACTTATATTTCAAAATCGTCTAACCATGATAATGTTAACTTGCCAATATTATAATAAGGAAAATTCTAGAACCTCAAACTCCTTGTGAAAGCAGTCTATTGCCTTTTCCAACGTTTCTATAGGCACCAACATATCTTGGATGACGTGGGCGCGGTCATACAATTTGGCCACAGCTTCCGGCTGTGTCAGCTTCAGAAGGGAAACCTCTGGTGGCATCAGCCAGCCGAAGAGATAACGGAACATGGGATTATTGCCAAACGATATGATGTCCTGAAACAAAACATAAGAAGCGTGACGTATTTTTTAATTTGTGCTCACCTGAAGACCAAATGTTAAAATTAAAATGCTACACTATATTTCAAAACGTTTAGAGTTAAATTTAAAACAAAATAGAATATTATTGTGGGGTCACAATTAAAAGCAGCAAAGAAGCGCGTATAAGTATAAAAACGAGAAGAAAAGTAAAAATATGTGGCATAAATATAGAACTCAAACCAGTACACGTGGCAACACAAGCCTCAGAATATAGGGAATGGTAAAACTTATAAGGGATTTGAATCTGAAGAACATGATTTTTTTTAAATTAGATTGTAAAAGTAGAAGTAGTAGTAGACTTTGAGATTTTCGTCCGTGTAAAGATAAGCACTTTCGCTCAGTGGCTAATGCGTCAGGGCGCGTATACCGGACGGAGGTTCAAAACCTCGCAGAGGCGAAAACTTTTCGTCCATTTGTCTAAAAATTTTTAAATTTCGTTTTTAAGGGTGTTTATATACTCTTGAAACCAATCAACTTTGATCTTTAGGTGCTCGCGGGGAGCCGAAAACTGACACAGAATAAAAATTTGAAGTTACATTTTCCAACAGCTATTTGGATGCGACTTTAAAAATAATGGAAAGATGTAAACAGATAAATGAGTACTCTCAAACTTTATCTTTAATAAAAAATAACCCAATAAAGCAGATCTTAAACTCTATATAATCTCCATTTGAAAAAATTGTAACGGTTTACTAATTTTTCCTTTTTTTCTCAAATATTTCGACACGTGTGATTTCGTGAGCAACTTTACAGTTGTATTCTCGTTTAGGGGGGTAGGTAGAGCGCTCCAACAGACACTGAATCCACTCAAATACCCGTCAGTTGAAACCAAAGTACCTGCAATTCCCAAAACAAGCTGCGCGTGTGCCTGTGGTAGTAGTGTCGCAGTGGTATGTACTCCACCGCGGCACCCCTCGTGCCTCGCTCCCAATTCCTCAAATGGCGCATCACCTGCTTGAAGAACCATTCCGAGTGCCAATTGCCGATGGGGTTCATCTGAAATATTATTATGCCGTACTCATTTTCTATCGCATATCTTCTATACAGCGTGTCGTTACCATCGCGACAATAAATGAACACACATATAGGGGATAAATTTTTAAAGTTGTATTAAAAATTTAAACTCTTTTAACATCAATATTTACAGAGTTATTAAATTTTCCAAAAAAAAGAATTTTAGAACACCCTTACCTATAAAAGCGTAACGTAAAGTTCATTTGTAAAGGTCACAAAGCATATGAATGGGTTGAATGAATTTAAAAGAGACAAAACATACTGTTAGGAGAGGCTTGTAATGCGACGCTGTGGCGCGAGTTGTATAGGATGTTACAAATTTTGTTTCTTTTTTACTTAATTAGTTTGTTTGAAAAATATTTTTTTTTAATTATGGATTTTGTTTAACGTTAATATTTTTTTATGATTATTAGCAAGTAGCGTTAGACGTGTGTTCATTTATTGTCGCGATGGTAACGACACGCTGTATATATTAAACTGGTGACTATATTTAAATATTGAACACACTGAAAATAAATGATCGCTCCAGGCTCTTTCAAGTGGCACTTTAATTTTCAAACATGTTTTTCTTTTTGTGAAATAATGGTAAAAGAAAAAAAATATTTTTCTTTAATCGGTTCTTCTCTTTTGTTCCGAACCGGTAGCCGGCCTTCTTTTAGGATTTGATGCTTCTCCGGTTGGTACCACAAGCAACTTCAGACGTTGCTGCTTGGCCTAAATTTTCATTATCGTTTCAGATGTGTAGGGTGTTTTCACAGTTTACTTGTCACTGGATAATTCTAATTCAAATTTACTTATTCAATAAAGAAGCATTATTACCTACTAATTGATTGTCAAAATTAGTATTTTATGAAAATTAGTAAGCCAAGCAGCAACGTCTGAAGTTGCTTGTGGTACTAACCGGAGAAGCATCAAATCGTAAAAGAAGGCCGGCTAAAAGGAGTATTTACTTTTTTGCTTTTCATCCGGTGATCTGATTATTGGAGTGTTAAACGAACCTACTCTATGTAATCGAATTCCAAAAAGGATTAGGTTTTTGGATTATTTTGACCACATCTCTGGTTCTGAAACAGGTGGTGGTTAATACTCGCTTAAGTACTTAAAACATTTTTAATAAAAAAAAAACCTTCAGACTTCAAATATCTCACCCACTATATTTACCATTTTCTATTTGATTTTGAGGAGTTCGCAATCTTAGTTTTAATATCGGCTCATAAATGATGGAGTTCTGAAGTCAACAAATATAAAAAAGCAACCGAATTGAAAACCTTTTTTGGAATCAGTTGCAAATGCATTAAAATCCGTTAAGCCATTGTATTGTGAAAATAAAACATGACTAAAATACACAAATTTTCAAATTCAGGAGCATAATAGTGTTTGTGAGGAGCCGTGATACCTGAGCGTCACAAAATTTTAAGTGCTGACTTGACTTTGAAACCTGCATATTTTCGAATTAACAACAGAAAACAAATCGAAGATACGTGAAGTACGCCAATCCGCAGTGGGGTCGCAAGGTGGACTATGCCCTAATACCCTCTCTCTGTAAAGAGGAGGCCTTTGCCCAGTAGTAGGACATATACAGGCTGTTACTTTTTTACGTATACGTAAAAATTAATGGAGGCGGTAACTCACGATTTCTCAACCAGAAAATCTCAGCCAGACCTATCTATCTGAGCCTTTCCATTTAGAACGTGAATAAACCTTAGCTACTTACTACTAGTGGTGTTTGTATTAGAACAAATTTATAGATCCATTAAACAATAAGTATGTTTATCACCTTCCCATCAGCACCGACTTCGTCCACCATATCACCAGTCATCAGGACGCCGCTATCTCTGCTGAAGAGTAGAGCCTCGATGAAGTCGTGCGGTTGCCCTTTTAAGGCCTCCTGTCGGAAACGCGTCGACAGCTCCGACAAGCTGGTGTAGGGATGGTATTCCAGACGGACGAATCTATTGAAGGATGACTACTTCAGACTTTCATTCTATTTCCAATGGAATTAATTTTGCAAAATGAAAAATTCTGTTTTATAACTCATTAATCAATTTCTAAAAGTATGATTTGTCTGTTCTTGGTTTTTGATGTTTATCAATACAGGTACAAACAGATTTTATTATATAAATTTTTTCGATGCTCAATTATTATTGTGGATTCATAGTATTAAAAAAATTGACTTCAATAAAGTATTTCTTTAAATAGATACTTCTATAAACAGATAATTTTTATGTAATTTTATGTAAATCCTTACTTCTTGGCATTCACTAACTGGATAACAACTGACGTTAAAAATCCAAGAGTCCCGTAAGACCATGGCACAGCGTAGAAAAGGTCAGGATTTTCTTTCTGCAATTAAATGGCTGATTATCACGAGTCCATCAATGAGGGAAAAATCGTGCGGAAACCATTATGTTTTAGAAATTGTACAGAATAAAAATATTTCGAATATATGCGAAGTCTGCCAATCCGCAGTGGGCTCGTGTATGACTATCCCTTCACTACACAGTATAAAACAAAGTCGTCCCGCTATCTGTCTGTCCCTTTGTACACTTAGATCTTTAAAACTACGCAACGGATCTTGCTGCGGTTTTTTTATTAGATATAGTGATTCAAGAGGAAGAATTATATGTTTAATACATACATAATTTAGTGGAGAATCTTAGTAGAGTATATTTAGTATCAGCATTGCACCCGTGCGAAGTCGGGGCAAGTCGCTAGTATTATATATTCTGTACAGGGAAAGCCATTTCCCAGAAATGGGACATTTATAGGCTGTGTATACTTTAACCAAATTATCTTGTGTCATAAAGTGATATGTTTCTCGATACGTAATACTTGATGTATCATGTGTTTTTAAAACGAAAGAGTACGAAACTTAACAAAAATTTCATTCTTTAACGTTCCTATGTCATTTTTCATTTCAAAACATAAAATCAATTAATATAATTTAAGAACTAATAGTTCTTTATTTCATATACACCACTGCAAACATAACAACTCCAGAAGTAAGAATAATAAAGAAACAAGTCACGCAAAAATCTAACCTATTATTTGTCAGGAAGAAAATGAAAATGCGCGTTTTCCCGCGGTAGCCCACGTAAGGCTCATTTAAGTCTATCACGGTTCATGAGATACAGCCTGCTGACAGACGAACAGACAGACAGACAGACAGCGGAGTCTTAGTAATAGGGTCCCGTCTTACCCTTTAGGTACGGAACCCAAAAAAAGTATCACAATAACATTCGTACAGAGGTCGGTACGAATGATCAGAATCCATACCTCGCTACAGGTAACGACCGAGCCGTCGGCCAAAACGAGTTCGTACTGCAAACATATGTGCTGGAACAAGCCGTGGATGTGCGAGGACGTCTCGACGCCCGTGCCCATTACCAGGCCGCCGACTGTCAGCTGGTCCAGCTCCGGTACCACGGCAAGCGCCAGGCCCAACGGCTCCAGTGTCCTCGACAGCTGGCCCATCGTGACCAGGGGCTCGCAGCGCACGGTCTGCGATGAGATCGTGCACGAAGGACCGACATAAAAAGTATGTGTGTATTTAAGTACGCACGTAAGAAGTTATACTTCTCCCCTGTACCAGTATAGTCCAAGATTCCAGGGCCGCCAGACGTCACGTATTTTCTGACGAACGGAATGTGTACGATTGACTAGTGTTAATATCCACTAAGATCGCATGCCTACCTGCTAGCTTGTTCAGTGGGCCAATTTCCAGGTATCAGGTAATCTAACGTTAACTGTGGCAGGGCCACGCAGCGGCCTCGGCTGTTACACGAATGGGCAGGTTCGTCCAGGTAAGTACCACCACCTCACAGAAGACCGGCGTGAAGAACAAGTATAATAAATACTTTCGCCTTTCGTCTGGTGAATGAAGTAGCCGGAGCCCAATTTTCAAAAGGTTGTCAACGCATCTTCAACTCTCGGGTGTAGCAGATGTCCATGGGCGGCGGTTTTCACTAAACATCAGGTGAACCGCATGCGCGCTTGGTATCTTTTCACATAAAAAAACCCTAAGAAGTTATACTTCTTTAATGTAATAAACGAAAAAAAAATTCTTCCCTGTGCCACTACTCTTTGGTTGTTTAAAAGACATTATATGCAATTGTTAAGACATCAAATGCAATTGTTTAATTGAATGACTTGTAAAATCATAGGCAAAAGTTATAAAGTTGTTAATGGTTGCCATGAATATGGACGCTTTGCGACCAACAACGGTGTTGGTGTGGTTTTCTTTCAAAACGCGCCAAACAAGTATAACTTCGAAAATCAGGCAACAACAAGACAAAATTCGTTCGGTTTAATATGTATAGACAAGCTGGGCAGAATTTTGTGCCATGTTTGTCTGATTTTATTGTTAACATTTGTTGCTTCAATTCTTCTAGAAACAGATGTTAAAAGTGTTATGATCATTTAGACCTTTGTCGCTATCTTTATCCAATGCGTTGAATTTATTTTGAATGTAAAAACATTAACACAAAAACTATTAAAACATGTATTTTATACATCCTGAAAATCCAAACATGTATCCTGTCTCCGAAATCTACGTTTAGCACTTACAAGACTCTTTGGGTCTAAAAAGAACTATATGCACTTACCAGATTGGTTGTGTCCACCTCAAGCACGTCCACTAAGTTCACATTGATATTGGTGAACGTCTTCTTGTAGAGTGCCTGACGAAAAGACATGGCCTGCCATCCAGGGCGCGCGGTGCATAGTTTGGTCTTACGATCACCCGCCAACCATCGCTTAATCTACAATACAAAATACATAGCAGACTACCTTTATGTCATTATTACTAATAGTTTAAATGACTCCGTGCCGCAATTGGCAAGTTATTGGCTTTGTCTCCAGGGGTTGTGGATATGATTTCCACACGGGACACCTATTTACGTGACCGTAAGATTTGTTTCGCATCTTGGCGTGTCCATAATAAACTTATGTATGTTAAACGTCCTTACAACAAAGGACAATGTTATCCTACAGTAAGGGCAATGCTTTAAAAACAATTTAAACAAACTGGTACTTTAAAATGTCCTTGTTCGATAAGTTTATGAATGTGTGAGGGGGAAAAAGGTAGAACAAAGCCGCACTATAATCTTCTCCTGTTCCCGAGAGAACAAAGCGTGAGCTGTAAAAAAATGCGAGCTTGCGACATAATATCCCCTGCATATACATTAAGAGAGTTGATGTAAACTCCGCAATCTACTTATTACGGGTCACATTGGATAGTTTTAAAGAAAGTGTGGTATAAAAAAAAATATCGATAATGATAAGGTTATCAAATGCGCCACGTCAATTACAGTCTTGTATGAAAGATATACTTTTCTTTACAAATTTCAATTGTCCAAATACAAGAGTTCCTTATATTGCATGAAATAAAATTGTTAAACTATACAATTACTATTTTATAAAATATAAATAAAATTTTAATTTTATAAAATTTACCCGGACGGACTTGTCCATTCGTGCAGCAGCGAAGAATATTTCGTGCCTATACCAGTGTTAAACCTATATAACTTTATGATAAATTTGAAGACAATCGACGTCATACCTGGCTCTGTACTTCTTTAACTTTCTTGTCATGCATTTTAGGTGCACTGTTCATTTTGAACACGACATAATTCCTGATAGTGGACCAGATCTTCCACAGCAAGGACATAGGCAGCAGCGCCGTGATCACAACAATCCAACGGTATTCTACCAGGATGTACTCCGCCAGTGTCTCTGTCTGCAACCCGGACATCTTGACCCTTGTTTACCTAGGACGTGTTTAAATCAATGATGTTATGAATTTCATATAATCAACTAGAACATATGTACTTTAGACCTGAATGTCTTGGCGGTATAAATAGCCGTATAAAACTTTTCTTCAGTTCAAGGACTATTAAAATAACAAATTATTCAGTCTTGGCTTATAAAATAATTTTTTAATGAATATTTTTAAAACTATTCACATCCATAATAATTATACATTGATAAAAGGCATAAATGTCTCTACTCTATTCTTTCAATGGATGATGTTTTCTAATATTGATTTTTTTTTATATTTATCAAATTATGTCGTAGCAAAAGAGGGCTCTAACAGCATGAACATATAAATCTGGATACTAAATTTCTTTAAACTAAGAATTTTAATGAATACCCTAAGGCACTAGCCCCGTAGCGGGACATTTATAATGTTATATATAGCCTGTTAATTCATTTAACAAATAAAAAATAAATAACTGTAGCGAGTCCCATTCAGAGCACCAATCACTGTTGCAATATTTTTCCAACAAATCAATCATTTAAAGTTAACTCAAATTTGTTTATCAACTATATTTTGAGGGAACTTAACTACTTAATTAATAACATGACAACCTGTAATCTGACAGGAATCATAACAATTAAGGTACCTATATATTTTCTAATGCAAGATTAGTTATTTTTTATGGTTTTAACTTTGATGTAAAAAAAATATAAAACCTACCTCTCGCTATTAAGAAGCTCAAAACAGAAGTGAAGATAAACGCAAACTGATCGTCAAGGTCAAACTATCGATTCGAGTAATAATATAATTATGTGCATATCAATTTTAAACTTCAACACAACGATACTTAACCATTTTCTTTAGGAACATGTTATAAACTGACCATATACATTAATCTACAATTGGCGTATAGGAAAATAAGAATCAATACATTGCCTATCTATATTGATACAAAATTCGTAAGAGACGTTACGCCAATAAATATAATCGAAAATTATATAATCGTATCTTATCTATAGCTAATTATCCAACAGGTGAACATACGCAAAATAAAGATTTACAGTTGCTAGGAACTTTTGTCGTTAGAATATTATACTTTAACTTAACATATTTAAAGGTATTTTTACTTAGTTTTATGTAATCACTACTAAATATCGGTCGCTATAAACAAAATTTTAGAAGTCCAACGAAACACCAATGCGCGTACATGACAGTAATTTTGATAAGACAGATAAAAGGTCAAATTACACCAAATTATTACTCTACTTACTTTACTGTACTCATGAATAATTGGTGCTTTAGAAATGGTGTCTTTAGATTAGAGTTATCAAAATTATATATAGATACTCATTGATAACTTTCTTACTACTAGTCTATTATATTATTTAATCAATGGATATAAATTTTTAGTCCTTTACAGTTAAGACGATGTATTATTTACAGTGGTTTAGCGGAGGAAGGGTAGCCTCGCTTGCTGCAAGGCGCATCCCACGAGTTCCGCCGAAGAGACGTATGACATTATTCTACACTCACGTGCAGCTAAATCGAAGTATACAAACTGTACATAGCATGTTTTTTTCGAATGGTCATCCATGGCCGGGACCTTTCACGAGCATTGCTCGACGACATCCACACGTGGCTTGGAGAGCTCGAATTGCGGTCTCGGTATCCTGTTTAGTGTTTATTTCTTCGGGGATTGACTTTAGTTTGGACAGATTCAGATTTGGGTCAATAGCTTCATTGAGCTTTGATTTAACTTTGTGCCAGATAATAATAGTTATTGTTTTGAGTATTGCTGAGGGCCCCAGCCCGAAGCCCAAAACGATGGTCAAGAGCAATAATTGAATGCAATAATTGCGCGCAATAATTGTGAGACCATTTCGTGGATCACTTGTATTGCTTTGTATACAACAGGCAAGAAACTTGCACCGTGTAAATGGGCCTTAAGGTTGATATTTTTGACGATCGCAATATCAAGCGAATCTGATGCGTGGCCCTATGTCGGGGAAGTGCGTGTGTTTGGCAAGGGCTACGGGCTAAGGGGATTTCGAAATCTATTGGATTGCACTATTTCTGAGGTGCTGTATTGAGGGTTGCGACCGTCTATCTGAGTGAATTTTCAATGCGTACACGGATGTAATGATATTTTAAAATTACCAGTCCTATTACAATGGTAATTGTGACAATTTAAAATTTAGAAAAAGGCTTTCAGGAAATGTTCATAATATTTAATTATTATACATATACATACTTACTTTAGTAGAACCCTTTTAAAAACGTACTTTGTACATTTTGAAGGCTCGAGTCGATTTAGCTGCACGCGAGTGTGTTAGTGGTGGGCCGCCAACTTGTTAATAAAGCTTTTACGCATTAAAGAGAAATTAAATGTAAAAACATAAAACAGTAATAAAAAATACTTGCAAAAAAGAAAATGAACAAAACGTATAACAAAACAACGAAATTTTTCCAGAATGTCGTACAGTGTATAGGACAAAAACCGATAGGCCAATCGATCCTTAGATAAGATGTTGAAATTACGCTTTAGTTGTTGATTGTAGTAAAAAAATTATAAATACGGAATATGTCAATGTTATTTTAATTTTCATATGCTCGGAAGAGTAAATTAGTAGGTACTATTTAATAAAAAAAACTCTTACTGATTATTTTCATTCGCTTAGATGCCTTCAGGGTTTTTAAAATCTCTCTGGCCCAAATGCTCATTAAACCTATCTTCCTCGACTACGCCGACGCCTGTTACCTGGATGCTACTGAGGAGCTTCTAAATAAGCATGAGCGCTTGTAAAACCTATGATGACGTTTTATCTTTGGACTTCGTAAATTTCGTGAATCAAGTCTCTGATCGTCGCAAGGATCTCAAGCGGCTCCCAATACGATTTCGAAGGAACACTAGTATTTTATTAATGTATTATTAATATAAACCTTCCTCTTGAATCTATCTAGTAAAAAACCGCTTCAAGATCTGGTGCATAGTTTTAAATATCTATGCATACATAGGGCCAGACAGACAGTTGGACGACTTTATTTTATACTATGTAGTGTTAGTATAAAGTACATATTTCTTAAGTTATAATAAGTAATTATCTAAAAATACTTAAGTAATTTATCTTTAGAAGAAAAAAGATATAATAAAATATGGTACACCTTAAAGTCATAAATGATGTAAAGGTATATATGTAATATCTAATGAATAATAATCTTTTTGGATGCAGATCAATGCTTCTGGGTAGATTGTATATATAATTAATATCAATTTGTTTTTGATAGAAGACATATTATTCCACAGACTGAAGATAGTACTTTGTGGAAAGCATGTATCAACTAAAAACAAAGTATACAGTTCCATCTACCGCTATGCTTCTTCTATAACAGCCCAATATTATAATGACATGGTAAAAGTGTAGATATCCTACTGTATTGTAGCATCAATAATGACAAATATTTCAGTCACATAACTATTTAATTGAAATTATTAACAAGATATCACAAACTTAAGAATAATAAAAGAATAAGTATAACAAGAATTTACATTATAAACAACTATAAAACTATAAAATTTAACTTATAGTTCTAAAAGTACGCAATATTGTTCTAAACGCAATTTTAGAATGTTTTGGTGAAATGGCAATAATATTTAAAGTAGAAACCAATACCCGTATCATTATTACAATTTTGACTTTCCCGTACCCAAACCCTCGTGAGATACTGGAATAACAGTATCGCATTTAGCTAACGGTTCCCTTAACGCCGTAATAGTTAACACCCCATCAGAGGAAAGCTTTGACTCAACACTTTCTGGACGACAAGCCTCTGGTAATGCATATTTACGAACAAACTGTCGCGAGACGTAACCGTATTCGTCCTTCCTTTCCTCATGCTGACCTTTTACAACAATATGTCCATCACAGGTCTTCACTGTTATCTCTTCTGGTTTAAAATCCTTAAGGTGTAGATTTATTTCGTATTTGTCACTATCCGCTCTTACAGATCTACCATTACGCCATGGAAAATTCTCTAACCAGTCTATCGATCGCAAGACGATTTCGTCGCCAAATAATGATTGACTCGAGGGCCAAAGTGACATGGTTATTCTTTAAGTTCTAGAAACTTCGTGAATACCCTATAAACTTGAAAGTAAACAGTGCTATGTTTGTTTACCTAACACACCTGATAATGATAAACAAAGAGTAGGTACTTTTATATAATATGTGAAATGATGATAAATGACAAGTAACAACTGAACTGAAAGCTGAATGAAGACAGCAGAGCAGAGCAATTATTATATGATAGAGAATGAGAAATGAATGAATGAAAACATTAGGTGAACAAAAAATTTAATTTTTTATCCTATTATCTAGTAGTAATTTATGCTTACTATTAAACTAGAAGATTAGTTTGTGACTAGTTCATAAGTAAAGAACGATATATTAAATGTACTTTTATTTATTTATTTTTTGCTTTATTGCAAAACCTTAAAAAAAGGATTACAAAAGGCGGACTTGATGCCATTTGGGCATTCTCTCCCAGTCAACCCTGGGCGTGGTAAGAGACTGTGGTAGGCGCAATAAGCTAAAAAAAACTATAAATACTAAATAATGATATGAAAATAAATACATAATATAAAAAACTTTTGAATTATGCATTAATACATATCTAATTAATAAAATAATAAAATATAAAAATATAAAAAAGCAAGTATATTTATATACATATAATATACATACAAACGCACGCACGCGCACACATACACGTACGGGATAATTAGTAACAAACGACAACATCCACTTCACTTGTTGATGATATTCTCCATTAAACAGTAAAAGATTTACGAAAGAAAGTAGTGGCGTGGAGAGGAATTTTAATCTTTAGATTAGATGAAGAACGAACATGTCTTTCATGAGAAATTTATCCTTAACATAAGGAGGAGAAGCTCGATCGTTTAAAATTGAAAAAAGAGTAACCAAAATTCTATAGCTTCGCCTTTGTTGAATAGTAAGCCACTTAAGACGTGTGCGATATTGACTGATATTATCATATTTCCGAAGACTGAACATAAATCTGATACAGCTGTTGTAGAGGCGCTCTAGCTTGTAAAGAAGTACTTTGTTTAAGTCTGGGTAACACACATCTCCGTAATCAACTTTAGGTAATATAAGCGTCTGAACAAGCATTATCTTGATCTTAAAGGGAAGAAAATTCTTAAAACGGTAAAGGGTTCGAAAGGCTGCATAGATTTTACGGCTGACTTGAATGACATGTACTCCCAACTCATCGTAATAGACAGCAGGCAAGCCTGCCTATAGTCAATTTTGGACAACAATCTAGAGCTGCCAGTTAGCATGGCTTGACACTTCGTAGGGTTAACTAGGGTTAACTCCAAATCGTGACGACCAATCATAAATTAAATTTAAGGGATTGAAAGTTATACCCCTCAAGATGTGAAACGCCATCGGCAGACTATAGATGGACAATACAGGACCCCATTGAAAACAGAGAAAACTAAGGGAGACTCTTGACCTACATGGACCGATTGCTGGCGCCCACGAAGATACGAAGAAAACCAATCCAAAACTTTGGGTGCAAAATTTAAGTGGGAAAGAATAGCGACGAGGACATCGTGATGAACTGTGTTGAAAGCGTTAGAGATGTCGACAATCACCAATACTGTAACTTTCTGATTTTCCATTCCAATTCTAATGTCATCAGTTACTTTAATTAGTTCAGTTGTGATGCTGTGTCCAGAATGAAACCCGGACAGATAAGTGCTTAGTAGGTTATTGCTATAAGTAAACGTACTTTGCTTATGAACTTTTAGTATAAAATAATATCACAAAATACAGAAAAGTGTGGTAAATAAGTACCTACTTAATTAAATATTTCTTTACTACCTATTATATTATGTATATGCCAATATTAACCCTAGCCTTCCTCGATGAACTGTTTTGTCTATGGTCTTCTTTATCACGGTAGTTATATCTATCAGTAATTGTAAGTTGTGAAACTAATATTTAGGTAATAAAAAAAAAACATTTATGCTGCAAATTGCTGTTACTGTTATTATCACAAGTACATCGTTGCATTTTTGGAACCAATTACTTGTAGATAAAATATTTTTATGTACATTAAGATCACACAGAAAAACTCATTTTTACAATAGTACATAATTGTAATAATACATCGTAGATAACACAACTTGTATCGATATTATAGGTACTATGTTCATATATTTATCAGTACAGAGCAATTATTACAATACAGGTTTATGATTACATAAAGCCTACATTACTCACTGATTATTTAAAAAAAACATGTCCTTTCGTAAAGTAATCATTGTAACTGGTGCAAACAAAGGATTGGGCTACGCTATAGTAAAGAAAATATGTGAAAATAATAATGAAGTCGTTTATTTAACGTCTCGAGATGAAAGACGTGGAAAAGATTCTTGTGAAAAGTTGAAAAGAATCGGTTTAAGTCCTGTATATCATCAATTAGATATTACGGATAATAACAGTGTATCACAATTTTGCTCTTTTATTAATAAAAATAATCAAAAAATTTATATATTAATAAACAATGCTGGGATATTATTCCTTAAGGATGCCAAAGAATCGAAACTTGTTCAAGCTGAACAAACAATTTTGGTGAATTTCACTGCGTTGGTAAATTTTACAGAGTCATTGTTACCACATATTACCAACGGTGGAAAAATCGTCAATATTTCAAGTTCTTCTGGGCATTTATCTCGAATACCATCGGACAAGTTAAGAAAGAAATTCAGCTCTCCAAATTTATCACTTACTGAGTTAAAAGGGTTATTGGATGCGTACCTAGATGCCGTAAGACAAAATAAAGAAATTGAAGAAGGCTGGGGTGACTCAGCTTACGTTATATCGAAAGTTGGAGTAAATGCGTATACTTTTATATTACAGCGAAGGTTAGCAGATAAAGGTAGGTTTATACATTTTGACTTTTATTTTACATTAAAAACACTGACTTTTGTTCCGAATCGTAAAATTTTTTTTATATAAAATTATATAAGGCAACTTAATCAAAACAGCTTATTCACAATATTGTTTTTCACAGTGGTAGGGCCACGCAGCAGCCTCGGCTGTTGCACGAATGGGCAGGCTCGTCCGGGTAAGTACCACGCCCTCACAGAAGATCGGCGTAAAGTGGAAGTATAATACTCTCGCGTTTCGTCTGGTGAGTGAGGTGGCCGGAGCCCTATTTTGAAAAGGTTGCCAACGCATCTGGAGCCCTCGGGTGAGGCACATGTCCATGGGCGGCAGTATTCACTTTACATCAGGTGAACCGTCTGCTCGCTTGGCAATTTTTCACATAAAATTTTATTTTGTCAGTACTTTTTTGAATATAATCCGCTCACGCTTATATTCAAATGAGGCAACCCTGATAGTTCAGTGTCCGGGTGTTCGCTTTTGATTCAAAACCGAGTGTTACACTTCAAATCTCGGTGCTGGCACCAATGAAATTGTTGATATTAAGTGCCGACTTATCACTTGCTTAGCGGCACCTGCACATTTTTGAAAATATAAAAAAAAATACTTAGGTAAACTCCGCCATCCCGTACTATGGTCGCGTGATGAATTTTTCCCTAATACCCTCTCTACAGAGAGTCTTTACACAGCAGTGGACATATACAGCGTGTCGTTACCATCGCGACAATAAATGAACACACGTCTAACGCTACTTGCCAATAATCATAAAAAATATTAACGTTAAACAAAATCGATAATTAAAAAAAAATATTTTTCAAACAAATTATTAAGTAAAAAAGAAACTAAACAAGTAACACCTATACAACTCGCTTGCGTCGCATTACAAGCCTCTCCTAACAGTATGTTTTGTCTCTTTTTAATTCATTCATATGCTTTATGACCTTTACTTTACGTTACACTTTTATACGTAAGGGTATTGTAAAATTGTTTGTTTTGGAAAATTTAATAACTCGGTAAATATTGATGTTTAATGAATGTTAATGTTTAATACAATTTTAAAAAGTTATCATATATAAGTGTTAATTTATTGTCGCAGTGGTAACGACACGCTGTGTATACGCTGTTACTTTACTGTGGTTTGAAACCGTCCTCTAACAATCGATATCTCCAGCGGCCCTAAATAACTGTGATGTTTTTCATTTTTATCTTTATTGTTTAACGCAAAAATTCCTTTTCGCCACTTTACTTTGTAAAGCTCAATCGGCGTTATTTCTCAAGGAATTCTCTCGAGTAAGTAGTTTTCGCTGATAAATTTGGTTAAACTGTACACATACTCCGATACATAAGTATCGGAGTATAAACTTTCAGTTTTAAAGCTTCATCGATCGCAGAACTCGTCTGTTAGCCAGAACCCACGCGCTTGATACGATCTCCCGCGTTGGGTAGAGCGGCGCATGTGCTCATGCTTGTGTATCTATGGGGGAGGAATGTCTGGTGAAAACCGCCCTGAAGCGCGGGTGTACACCCTGTGTACGCTTCGTTTCTTTTTTCTTCAATTTTCAAATATTTATTTAATATACAAGCATTACACTTACTTAGTCAAAACAATACAACTACCGGTTCCTAGATAGCTGACCTTAGTATAAGCGAAGGAAACTTAGTGGAACATTTTATTTTTTCACTGAGTTGTGCAGTGGGACCCCCGGTGGTTTCAAAATATCTACGATACATATAGTGGATTATTGTTACTTTTGTACACTAAACGCCTGGTTTCTGAAACACTGATCAACGTAGATGTCACCTAATCAGCTGTCAAATGGATTTCAAATTACAATTTAGGTACCAAAAAGATGGTTAAACTCTCTGAATTGACCAGAATGATCTTCTTTATGATTCCATCCTTTGGGAACTAAAATGAAATTTGAAATTCATTTGACAGCTGATTAGTTGACATCTACGATGATCAGTGTTTTAGAAACCGGGCGTAAGCTGTATTAATTTTTTTATATATGTAAGGTCGCCATGCGCGTTATAATAATCAATATTATAATTCAAACATCCTTATTCAATACATTTTAGGCATCATCGTAAACTGTGTGCATCCCGGATACGTAATGTCGGACATGACACGCGGCTCCGGGAACGTGACCCCAGAGGACGCGGCGAAGGTGGTTTTAAACGTGGCTCTGGAACAAACGACGACGGGAGGCCAGTACGTGTGGCACGACGGCACTGTTGTACCGTGGGACGGCCCAGATCCGAGGGGCTATATTGATGGCAAAAAGTGACCTATCATAATTTTGAAACGAAAATATTTTGTACTTTTATGCGTAGTAGAATAATTCCATATATTTTTGTCACGGGCCTATCAAGTTTTTATTATTTCGCACCATTGTTCTCATGGTTATTTACATGTCATTCGACAGATGTTTCATAATGAATATTATTAAATTTTTAATCGTGTGTTATGTGTTAATGATAAAAATCGAACACGTTTCCAAAGATTGGCCTCGGCTGGGGATCGAACCCAGGACGCAAAATTGTATCGACAGATATAATATACATCACAGCCTCTTCCTTACCAAAAATATATAACACTGAACATAATTGGGGGATACAACACTGACATAATTTTCATAAGGTTTATAATAAAGGTGTGGTCATTAAAAGAATGAATAATAATTCTTTAATTTTAATGATCTTCATTGATAATGACTCAATAAGGTACAAAATGGAACCATGTAATTGGCATCTCATTTAAATATAGAAAAAATAATAATCTTTCATAACAGGGATATGACACTAAGTTTAAAATAATACAACGAATATACACATAATTTTTTAACGAAATGTTATCATAGAAGAAATATGATAAAATTTAAAGAGGGGGACGAACAGCCGAGACCAAAGTAAAAGACAAAGTTGAAATAAAAATAAATCAACATTTTTAAATAAAACAAATAGGTTAATTTATTTTACAAATTCCTTTGTTATCATATTTCTCTCGTTTAAAATATGCTCTCTTAATACAAAGATTTATCGATCACATCACCAACGGAAAGAGAATAATGTTTTACTGATAGAAAATATAATATCCGCTGTCTGAGAGGTTTTGTAGATTGCACTTTGCCGGCGTTACTTTGCGTCGATGCACTCGGCGGGGTGCTGCGACGTTTTGGCTGGGGCGAAGCCCGGGGGTAGTGGGATACTGTTGTATGGCGCGCCACCCCACAGTTTAGGAGCGGCCCATTGCTGCTGTACTAGTGGTACCTGTGGTTAATGTCATTTATGAAAGCCATGTTTGAGAGACCACTTTTGGCCTCTTTTTGAAGTGTAATACAACTCTTAACAGAAATTAAATATGTGTATATCACTTGATCCTCAATAAAAAGGCAAATAAAAGTTATAAATTAAGGATTCAGGAAGTCACATTAGTGTGTTCGGGAGCAAGGACGTTTTGATTTCATATTACATTATACTTCTGTAAATGATGTTAAACATAAAACCAGATATATTTCATGTTGGATGAATGATAAAAATAAGATTTTTACAGACGTAAAGGGAAGTACAAGTCTTATTTAACGGATTTAAGACCAGTCGCAAACTTTCGTCACAAATTAAAATGTTGATTGTGATTTATTTTCGAATATTAGCCAAAGCTTGGCATGAGGAGATCTCAAAACTGGTTTCACTAACTCTACGCCTCTATTCTACGTTGCAGTATTACGTTACGTAATTTCCTAAGACGTAACTTTTGGTAAAATCTACACTAACGGAATTTCTGTATGGTCAAACTTAATACTAGATATTATAAAACAAACATCTCTTACTACATTCTAATGGAGTAAATAGATAACTTTTAAATTTACACAGAACCATTTTATTTTACTCCAGTAAAGCTAGGTGAAAACAAAGGTAAGCGGTCGATATCTTTATCGCGTGTTTAGTTACTGGGTCTGGGCGTGATAACCGAAAAAAAATATTCTACAATTTACCTACACATTAAATTTCATCTTAAGTGCAGAGGCCAGTACTAACGGTTTTGATAAATTACATAGGGAGGTGTGTGCGAAACTCTGCCGTTGAATTAACAATGAGCATACTAACCTGATGTTTAGAGATCCCATTAGACTGTACACTGAGCTGATTGAACCTGGCAAATAGTTCCTGTTGCTGGGGCGTGAGGCCGGCCTGTGGCGGTTGTTTGTTGCCGAAGCTCACCGATGTGGACATTATGGCTGGGTCCATTTGCGTCCAGTCAGAGAACATGGCACTGTTTGAATTGTACCCTGAAAATGATTATCGTAATTTTTTTTGTAAAATAATACTATTAACAACATTACTTCGGAACTGTAATAAATCATTATTTTTAAGTTTTTATAGACCAGGCTGTAGTCGCACAATTGCATTTTAAATTCATAAAAACTAAATGATTGGCCTTTATGTCGAGTTGAAGTGAAAGATTTTGATTCAATTTGTACTTTATGGTTGATTTTAAATTTGCACCATACCAGAAATCAATTGGTCAGGACTTCCGCTAGAAAACTTTCTATGATTACTATATTATTAGTTTACCTTGATAAAGAGGTAACTTTTAGCAAAAACCTACATACACTAACGGAATTTCTGTATGGACCAAAACTTACGGACACTCACTAAGCCGTGATAGCTCAGTGTCCGGGCGCTCGCCTTTAATTCAATATACTCAAACAACCTGAGTTCGATCCCCGGTGCCGGCGCCAATGAAGTTTTTAACTTTAAGTGCTGACTAATCACGTGCTCCGCGGTGAAGGAAAACATCGTGAGGAAGGAAACCTGCATATTTTCGAAATAATAACAAAAAAATATATATTTCGAAGATACGTCCGTCAATACGCACTGGGGCCGCGTGGTTGAGTATGCCTACGAGGAGGCCTTTCCCAGCAGTGGGACATGTATAGGCTGTTGATTTACCTTGATGTGCTTGGTGGCGAGGCACTCCAATTCCAAAAGCATTCATGTGGCTGAAACCAGGAGGGGCCAATCTTGCGCGACGAACACGTTCCATGTTATCTCTGAGAAAACAGTTGGCTGTCATGTAAAATACATGTATTTTTTTGAACAATGATAAAAAATAATGCTTATTACAAATCAATAATATAAATTAAAAAATCGATATACCTAATCTAATTTTAATCTCTCAAAACTTTTTAACATATTACAAGGTAAATTTGTGTACATGTAGACTTTTTTTCTTCTTTTTAAGCATGAACATCTTATATGGTAAAATTTAATGTAGGCTAAGTAAGTGAATAGTAAATGGGCAAGCAGTTAAACCGATTAACTGCTTGCCCACTTGGCATCTTAATTTAATAAATAAAAAAGAAAACAATAAAAAACAATAATCCTATAATTTGATAAATATGAACACCAAAACTACTCAACCGATTATCATGAAACTTTGTACACATATTCTAAGAGGTATTAAAAAGGACATAGCATCCTTTTTTATTAAATAATACATATTTAAAAAAATATATATTTATTAAAGGGTTTCAACGCGAGCGAAACCGCGGGCGAAAAGCTAGTGAAAAATAAATAAATAATAAAGAAAACAATAGAAAACCGAGGCAAATTACCCGCTAGAGATGGTGTTGAGCATCATTTCGGTCTCCATCATTTCTGCGAGCGCCTTCTGCGTCTCTTTGAACGGATCAAAGTCGAGGTCGTCATCGCCGTCACCCGCCGCTCGGCCACCGCTGTTCTCGTTGCCCCGCATGTTGTTCAATCTGTAATTGACAAGAGTGACTTTGTGTAACGAACATTCCTTCAGTGGTATTTTTGAGACACTCGTGTTTTATTAGACGTCGGTAAATTGGAGATTGGGATACACATTAACTGCTATTGGCTACCCAGTAGGGGATGATTGCGACCCTGTTAGGATGGTTCACTGATGTGTTTTCAAAAGATTAGCAACCTTATTAGGTAGGAAAACGCATCAGATAGCCTTGGGGCTACCATCAACAATTTGTTTATTTTTGGTTTAATCAATACACTGTCCTTACTATACAGCGTGTCGCTACCACCGCGACAATAAATGAACACACATATAGAGGATAACTTTTTAAAGTTGTATTAAAATTTACATTCTTTAAACATCAATATTTACCGAGATTTATATTAAATTTTCCAAAACAAACAATTTTAGAACAGCTCTTACGTATAAAACTGTAACGTAAAGTTCATTTGTAAAGGTAACAAAGCATCATATGCTTCATTTGTAAAGGTCACAAAGCATATGAATGTGTTGAATGAATTTAAAAGAGACGAAACATACTGTTTAAAGGAGAAGCTTGTAATGCGACGCTGTGGCGCGAGTTCTATAGGAGGTTACAAATTTTGTTTCTTTTTTACTTAATTAGTTTAATTATTGGTTTTGTTTAACGTTAATATTTTTTTATGATTATTGGCAAGTAGCGTTATACGTGTGTTCATTTATTGTCGCGATGGTAACGACACGCTGTATATTGAAACTAACTGACCCGGCAAACGTTGTTTAGCCATATAAATTATATATATGGTAGAAAAAAATGTTTGGGGTGGACCACCCTTAACATTTATGGGGATGAAAAATAGATGTTGTCCGATTCTCCACCCTGGCCGATATGCACACAAAAATTCAATTACAAACACCGTGACACGAGAATTTTATATATTAGATCTTGCATAATTGGTATGGTTAATTTCATTTTAAAGGATCTCAAAGCCGCTGATAGCCCTATAACCTGTTTTTTATGATTTTATCAGATAAGGATGTTTCTTTATTTTAATAGCATTGCACAAAAATTGAACTGTGGTGGGGTCAAGCAACAGGTTGCATGAATAGGCGGGCTCGTCCGGGTAAGTCACACGACCTCACAGGAGGCTGGCGTGAAATGGAAGTGTTATAATTCCGTTTCCTTTCTTAAGTGCGGTAGCGAGCTACACTTTGTTAAATTGTGGCTACGCATCTGCAACCCTGCAGGTGTTGCAAATTATCACAGGGCGGCAGTTATCACTTAACATCAGGTGAACCAGCCAGCTCGCTTGGCACCTTCTCACATAAAAATCATCCTTGGATGGTATTGTTACGCCTAAAACTTTTGCTTGACATTTAGAATTACCTTTGCTTATGCTCCATCTCGAGGCGTTCCGCGCTGAGCATGTTGTGCGGATAGTGGGGCGAGTGCTGGTGCTGCTGTTGATGCTGCTGCTGTTGTTGATGTTGTTGCTGTTGTTGTTGTTGGTTCTGCTGTTGTTGTTGGTGCTGCTGTTGTTGTTGCTGCTGCTCGTGAGCGAATCTGCGCTCCTCCACGCTGCGCGCCAACAACTGCCGCATCTGCTGGGCCTTGTGGAAGTCCGTGAAGAACTTGTCCATGTTCTCAGCCAAGTAGCGGCCTTCGCTCTGCGAAATGAGACCACACTTTTGACTTCCGACGGCTTCAATCTAATAAGCTAGCTAGCTTTCCTGCAGATATTGATGACGTGGATTCAATTCCCACTACATGAAAAACATGGTGCGTTGAACATGTTTATATAGTTTCTGGGTGTTTATTCAAGATAAGTATGTTTTAATTATGTTAATCAGTAACCTACTTTCCATAGTACAAGCATTGCTTTGCTTGAGACTTGGAAATTGTATACAAGGGGACATCCATTAATTTATGTGAAGCGATTTTGATGGTCGATTTTCGACCCTCCGCTTCCCTAGTTTCGTTGATAGGTCGTGAGATTTTGCTCGTCATCGGCCAGTTTTGATCAAAGATTAGTTGAATAAGAAAATTGAGTGATATTTGCCGAGAGGCCCCTCTCCCCCACGTGAGATTGGGTGAGATTCAAGTCGGCGCTCTAACCCCTAGGCGCCTCACGTAATTGATGGACGCCCCCTAACGTTCCGCAAAAACATATTTCTAAATATCATTACTATTCATTTATACTTACCGCAGACTGGGCCCCATCGAATCCGTTAACAAGACCACTCTGTTGTATATGTTGCTGGTTCTGTTGAAGTAACTGCTGGTTGTGGAGCATGTATCCAGCACCCATTGTGCTCATGGAATTTGCCGATAGTGAGTTAGTCGATACTGAGTTGCCACTACCGCTCAACGAGTTTGTCACCATGGAATTGTCTACGCGCATACCAAACGGTGGAAGCACATTGGGATTTTGATGAAAATTAGCACCTGCACAGGACAAGTCGAGTTGAGATATTTTTTTTATTTCGGCACATGACACTTCATTAACTTATGGACGTTATTAATTAATGTTTGACTTATTTTAAATATATTTTAACTAAATCATAAAATGCTTTTTCCACTATCACATAATTAATCTTTTTCCTATTCTATATTGGGACAACCTTATTAATATATAGTATTAATGGTTGTATTTTTGTAAGTTAAAAGCAGGAAAATAACAAAATTACATTTATGGCTATGAAACATCACATCACCAAGCATGGTGTTATTATAAATAGATAGATAACAAAAACACTAATGAGAAACGACATTTGACAAGGGTAACGTAACAAAGTGTGGATCTCAAAAACTACCACCTTCTTACCTAATAATTCACTAGCAGACTCGAGGCCTATACTGGACGACGGCATATAGTGTTTGGGCTCGACTATAGCGTTGTGTTGTCTCGCCAACATTTCGTTCTGTCTCATCAACATTTCACTACGGCTGCGCTGTTCGCGCATCATCAATTCCTTCTGGTCCATCAGACCTTGGCTAATTTGGCTAATCTGTCTATCACTACCTAGATAATTCACTGAGTCCCTGTCTAACAATCCGTAACCGTTTGTTAAAGGTGACTTCATGTTGTGCGCGAGTAGGTGGTTGTTGTCAACCAAGCCTGCGAGCATTTCCCTATGCCTCTGCATCATCAACACTTCACTGTTGGCATCGTTTAACAGGTTGTGTGCGCTATCGTCGTCTAATAAACTGTGATCGCTGTTATCTAACAGATCGTGGTTCTCCAACAGACTGTGCCTGTCCGATTCCAATTCGTCCAGTTCGTTTGACAGGTAACTTTGTTGTGTATCACTTTCGAATGCTGAACTTGTGTGATTCTCTGTACTTGTGAATACGGGCGCGCTTTCAACTGTCTCGGGTTCTGTGATATCGTTACTGTTAATATTATTGTTGTTACTGTTACTGCTATTGTGATTGCTATTCCTACTGCTATTGCTATTGCTATTTGACGAATGTTTCTGTTTTGATTTGCTTTCTGATTTGCTCTTCTTACTTTGGCCATTTGTGTTGCTGTCTTTGTTATTTCTACTTGGTTTACTTTCCGTGTGGTTTTCTTTGTGTTTTGTTTGAGACTGTTGTGTTTGTTGCTGTGTGGGACTGGAAGATTCTGATGTGCCGTTTTCTTGTGACTTTACTGTGGGAACAGAAAAAAAAAATTTTATATAAATATTACTGAGCCAACCTCTAAATCTGAAATAATTAATACTTTAATTAAAATATTATTTGATTTGGGACTGCTGTAGTTTAGTCTCCAGGTGCTCGCTTTTAGCATAATCCAGCATCAGTCTACTGAAACTCAGTTGAAAAACTCAATAGCCTTTTTAGTACTGATTTACCAGTAGCTCAATAAAACGTCATGAGATACATAAGAATTAAAAGAAATCCATGACATGTGAAGTCCTCAAAACTGTATTGTACTTGATTAGCAGACTATACTTTAAAACCTGCTGTTCAGAGGAGGCCTTTGATCAGCAGTGTAACTCATATGTACGCACTATTACTTTATACAAAAATCTTTAAAAATTGTAGCAGTATTCGAGCGCTCGCTTTTAGTTATATTCAAGCAGCAATGTCACCAAAGAAATTTAAGTGCTGCCTTATCACATGCTCGGTGGCGAAGCAAAACATTGTGAAGAAATCTGCATATTTTTGAGTTACTAACAAAGAAAATAGAACCACCCACGGGTGGTTGTGGACTACGCCTTAATTCTCTCTGTAGAGGCCTTTGCCCAGGGGGACTTATATAAGCTGTTAATTTTTTACATAGAAAAAACACACTGTTCTTACTTAAGCTATACAAAAAAAAACTATATGGAAGCCTTTCACATTTTAAATGCTACCAGCGCGAGTTCACTGTGTCAAATATTTACGTATCTCTTGATAAAATAATTTCAATTCAAATGCAATATTAGCATTTAAATTCTCACAGCCATTTGTATACTATTCTCACCTGTGGACTGTTGCGGTTTTGGACTGGGCTGTTTTCTTGCTGGGCTCTCCGATGGTGGTGATGAACCGAGACTTGGCCACGCTTCTTTGCTGTTGCCGTTGCTGCCCACGCCGTTCTCTTTGCCGTTCGCCGTTTCCTTTTTCGATCTGGAACGAAAGGAAAACGGTATGTATTTTACGACTCTCCAGTAAGTGCAATACTTGGATTATGTGTGCGTTCAGTGTCACATTCTAAGTCAAGCCCTAAATCTCAACCACTAAGTGGTAGTTATCCACGTTAGTCTATTTAGTCCTGAAACGTTACGGGTATAGACTTGACGAAACTTATGTTATTATAGTTTGTACATAGAAATTAGACAATATCATTTTATGATTTTGATAAATCTAACCAATATATACTAGTATTATATTACTAACAGTAGTAGAACAATTCTCTTATCCCTTAAAATTTTAAGCTGAAGCAAGTTAATCGTAAAATAAATATGACTATGGATGTTTGTTGCTATACCTTGAGAGATTCATAGGCAGTGCATACTAAATGTTGATCATAATTTCGATTTGGGAGTTCAAAATTATCTGCATAGCTTTGAGCACAGGCACGAATAACTTGAAACTTAAGATGGTAAAATATGAAGGAGATAAATATACAATACAATGTGAAATAGACTTTTGAACGCAAAGTTATATTTATCTTTTCACAAGAGTCAATTATACCATGTTGTTTAAAAGGCATAAAAAAAGCAGCGAATGCCGTTCACTTATTGTGCTGTACTTACTTAGATGTAGTGACTATGTTAACATTTGATGATGTGATCACTGTTGTCGGTATAGGGTTTGATTGATTACCTGCAAAAAGAAAAAGGATTATTACTACACATTCCAATATCATTGTTACTAGTAACTTTTTTTTTTTGAAACTAAAAAATCCAATAAGAAGTAGGTCAATTTTAGCCACAGTATTTATTTATTTTACAATGATTGTTTTGTATAAGATCTCTAACTGCAACTCACCATCTTTTGAACTGCTTTTTTCCCCATTCATACTAGAATTACCTGAAAATACGAAAATTTTGATTCAAATAAAAATCACAAAAAAGTGATCAACAAAGAGTTAAGCATAAATCAACCAAGAAAATTATACACTAAAATTGCAATGTAACATTTTTAGTGTTAAATTATAAAACCATATCAATATTTGTGTTTTGTATTTTGTGTGGAAGGGGTTGTAAGTTCCAACAGCCAATGCCACCTAAAAGATCTATTGTAGCCTTCCCTTCAAAAACATTGCTTCCTTACTGTTGGATAATGTTATACTGTGTCGTATAAGGATGTTTATCATACACAAATTTCACATGGACAAACACCCAGACCCGAAAACATTATCTGTGGGTCAAACAAATAGTTGTCTCGCGGCGCCGAAGAATACCTTGGCAACTACACCACCATCATAATAGCCAGTAGCTACATTATATTTTAAAAGCAAATAGCAATAACCTAATTTAGTTTAAATAACTCAATAACAGCTGAATACCTGAGCTCTGGCAGTTCTTGTCGTCGGGCTTGTCTCGCTGCGCTTGAAGTAGTTGATTGTGCAACCGCCGCTCGTACACTTGGTGTAGACCTGCGTGCATCTCCTCCTTCGTGAACGACGCCTTCGGATCACCTGTACAGATATTTTATTAATTGTAGTCACACACAAACGCCGAGCCATAAAAAATCTTATCATGAGAATATTTACCAGCGAAAGTTGGAAATATTCTTAAAGAAAACAAAGCTCAAATATGATCATACAGTAGACAAGTACTTCACAAGTCTACCTTTCCATATTCACAAGCTTGTTCAGTCAAAATGAGTAACAATGAAAGATAAGAGATTCGAAAAATGGAAATATCATGGGTGCACACGGTTTTTGGTACATATGAAAAATACACTCACAAAGACCAGGATGAAGTGGAAGTTTTATGCTTTTGTAATTTGTCTGGAGAGTGAGGTAATAGGGGTCCACCTTATTAATAGTAGGCAACACATCTGAAATCCTACGGGTGTTGTGAACGTCAATGGGCGGCGTTATCACTTAACGGACCACCAGATTGCTTAAAAAAAAAAGATGGCATACTCCGCTCACCTAACTCGTGCAGGTACATGCAGTCGGGCTTGGGACAGGGCTGGTTCTTCATGAAGTTGGCGCAGTACTTGGTGGTGCCCAGGGAGCCCTTGAGCACGCGCCCGTCCAGCGTCACGTTGTTCACGCCCTGGATGGCGCGCAGCGCGTCCGCCGGCGACACGTACGTCACGTACGCCGACGCCGAAGGGCCCTGCAACGGCGTTGGGGCGGTCTAACTACGACTCACGTGATGAACAGCCAAACATGACGCGGATGACCGGTCTAAGTGTGACTCGTATGATGAACAGCAAAACATGACGGAGATGACCGGTCTAAGTATGACTCGTATGATGAACAGCAAAACATGACTGAGATGACCGGTCTAAGTATGGCTCGTATTATGAACAGCCAAACATGACGGAGGAGACCGGTCCAAGTATGACTCGTATGATGAACAGCCAAACATGACGGAGATGACCGGTCTAAGTATGACTCGTATGATGAACAGCAAAACATGACGGAGATGACCGGTTTAAGTATGACTCGTATGATGAACAGCAAAACATGACGGAGATGACCGGTTTAAGTATGACTCGTATGATGAACAGCAAAAAATGACGGAGATGACCGGTCTAAGTATGACTCGTATGATGAACAGCCAAACATGACGGGGATGACCGGTCTAAGTATGACTCGTATGATGAACAGCCAAACATGACGGAGATGACCGGTCTAAGTATGACTCGTATGATGAACAGCAAAACATGACGGAGATGACCGGTCTAAGTATGACTCGTATGATGAACAGCAAAACATGACTGAGATGACCGGTCTAAGTATGACTCGTATGATGAACAGCAAAACATGACGGAGATGACCGGTCTAAGTATGACTCGTATGATGAACAGCAAAAAATGACGGAGATGACCGGTCTAAGTATGACTCGTATGATGAACAGCCAAAACATGACGGGGATGACCGGTCTAAGTATGACTCGTATGATGAACAGCCAAACATGACGGAGATGACCGGTCTAAGTATGACTCGTATGATGAACAGCAAAACATGACGGAGATGACCGGTCTAAGTATGACTCGTATGATGAACAGCAAAACATGACTGAGATGACCGGTCTAAGTATGACTCGTATTATGAACAGCCAAACATGATGGAGGAAACCGGTCCAAGTATGACTCGTATGATGAACAGCCAAACATGACGGAGGTGACTTCGCAACGCAGTTGCATGGGCTCGATTACCACAAGAGACCGACGGATGATTGTTTCGGGTTCTGGGTGTTTGTCCACGTCAAATTTGTCTAGGTTTTCAACCTTTGAGCAGATTCGTATAAGTACATACATACATATAGGGCTCCTTTTGGAGTTTCTTACATACGGGGGGCCGTAATTAATGATACTTTATGTATAAACGCGTCATAAGGCTAACATCATTGCCCTAGAAACAGCGTAAACAGCCTTAAATATTACTAACTGAGAAAAAAATACAACATTATAGCTACTAAACTATCCTCGTAATTATAGTAAGGACTGGGCAAGCTCTTCGCTCTTTCGCGTTCATCTAGGGACGTGGTAACCGCGGCCCACTTTTTTATATTGGCAAATCTTCAACCCGTTAGATTTACAAATGTCTTAACATCAGATGAACTTGTTCATATGCCAACTTGTTACGTAAAAAAATGACAATTGGAGTTTAGCAAACATTTAATATACTTGTTTACCAACCAGCATTTAAAGTCTTGATCTTTAAGATTAATCACTCTAAGAAACCAACTTGTGGTAGTCAAGTGAAGTTTATAACTAAGCTTACATAAATTAATGAACTGATTAGAATGGTTTCTAAGAGGCACTAAGACTATCTGATATAGCCTTAATGACTCTTAAAAACCATAACAGGTTTAATTGGTATTTGTTAATATTTAGTAATAAATTTTTCTAATCATAAACTATTTAGCTACTTTACACAATTTTATCTGATGGGTGCAACTAGTTTGCGATGACGTAGTCATAGGGGTTAAACAATATTAATGCAATGGATGCAATTTTTTTTTTTAATTAAAATTCTAGCTCTAAGCATTTTGCGTACCTTGTAAGGGTAAAAGAAATATTAAAACTATATTCACCTGTGACCCTGCATATGCGGTACTTTGGTTTATGACTACTTTGTGAATTTTCCCATATTTGCCAAAGTATTCTTGCCGCTTGAGGATCTGTCAATAAACAAAAATAACATAATTAAGTAGTTTTTTGTGTTTCAAATTAAACTGTAATAAATAGTCCACTGTTAAACAAATAATAAAAATGAGATTAAAACAATGAAATAGATATTGATTTAATATCCAGCTGAAAAATTGTATGTTCCATTCCCGCACAATACAACTATTTGTGTAACCCACAGATAATTGTTTCAATTGGTGCTTGTCAACAACACAGGATAATGTTATCCCACAATTAAGGGACCATATTTCCGTAGGGAAGACTACAATAGATCTCCTAGGTCGTAGTGGTCGTTACAACTTAATGCCCAACAACCGCTTCTATTAAGCACGATATAATACTAGTCGCCACAACCACTTGGGACGGTTAGCTAGAAAGAGAGGGAGAGTGCACCCACCTCTGGATCGGCGAGCCGCACGGGTAGCCCAACGACGAACACCAGATTGTTTTGCACGACGCGAACGTTCGCCAAAGCCCGCCTCGACTCCAGCGTCTTGTTCCGCCTCTTCTGCTCCCGCGCTTTCTTCTCCGTCTTTATCGCCGCCACCTGGCATAAAGGTGATATTGTATTACGTGCATTTTAATTGTGAGGTTACCGATCGTCGCAAAGGATAGTGGACCTGTCTCTTGCACCTGAGGGTGTGCGTTCAATGCACACTACTGGAAAAAAAAATATTGTATGATGGACATAGTGTTTTTCTAGTGTCTGGATGTTTATATATCCAATCTGTAGTCGGAATCGGCAAACATCACGAAATATCACAGGTTGTATAGTGATATTTCAAGTTTATTTAATTTTCATTTACAGAAAAAAATCTATAATATAACTATTTTTCTTTATTGTAAAGCATACAATAAACTGGACCATCTTGAGACAGTTGAACTAGTTGAAATGGGTTGTGATACCAGTGAGGTCTTAAATGCAAAATCGGCAACGTGCCGCTCGTCCTCATCTGCTCCTGCAGATTTTCTTTTATCTTCAACGCTGATTGCTCTCGATTACCTGTTCTTGACTGAGTGGTGTGAAGTCTGCGGGGTTCTCCGGATAGGCTTTCCGACAGGCGGGACATAAGCCGTTCTCGCCTTCCCGTATACGGTTCCAGCAAAACCGGCATATCTGCGACGGGAAAGATTACTTTGTAAACCATCATCAAAGACACATCAGTACTGTTACAGCCGTTAGTGATCAAGAACTGGTTGTTTTAGTTAAAAGAAACAGCTCCTTAACGTATTTAAAACTTTGGGCATACTGTGGTGGAGCCATGCAGGAGCTTCTGTTGTTGCACAAATGGGCAGGCTCAGGCGGGTAAGCATCACAGTGTCACAGGAGAGCGGGGTGAAGTGGAAGTATTATACTTTCGCTTTTCGTCTCGTGAGTGAGATAACCAAGCTCCAATATTTTATATATTGACAACGCATGTAACCCGTCACGTGTTGTAGATGTCTATTTGCGCCGGTAATCATTTAACATCTTGCGAATTTAAAAAAAATGGTTTTAAAAAAAAAAAAGATAAATGCAGTATCACAATCAAAACATTTGAATCATGCCTTAATACGGTAAATTGTTCTATTTCTTATATAAACCACTTCTTTGATAATACACCATCCAACGACAATATTACCGTATTTAATTTGTTATTTTAGCAAAAAAAAAAACCGATCAAGTGCGAATCAAACTCGTATGCCGACGGTTCCGTAACTTCCCATTATATAAATAAAATTTGTAAATAATCATCCCCATCGATTTTCTTAGGTATGGATGGACCTAGCAACTTGAAATTCATACCAGATACTGAGGTCTATAGTCCTTTTTAGGTGTAAAATCAAGGACCTTCTATCTATCGTCTTGATTTTAGATTTTCGCGGAAATTTTAATTTACTCTATAGGTTTTCGACCCAAAACCTATAGGGTACTTCCATTTGACTTTGAATTGTTAATTTTGGCGAATAACATGGTCTTGCGGAACAAGTAAAGAGAAAATTCCGAAAAATTAAAGAAGTAGAAAATTAAGATAAATTTTGGTAGTTACAAGTGATCTTATTAGGATTCCTTTTTTTAGCTTTTAAGGTATGGAAACCTAAAAAATAATGTTTACAATGTTGTGGATATAATTTTTTCAATCAACACACACCCCTCATACAATCCCTTAAATACTTCTTCGAATATTACATAAAATAAACTAATTTACGAATTTTTATCGTGGTTTATTTATAAGTCTGTAAATTCGTTTAATTAATTTCTGAAACTGTTTATTTACGTATTAAATTAATCCTGAAATTTATTCACAAGACGTACCAAAAACACTAAATAAGTTTATGACAACATATTGTTCTAGAAACATACTTGGTATCCACATGTGCACGGGTAGAAGTGGAGATCGTCCACCTCCAGAGGTTCCATACACAGGGGACATTCCACCTTTAAATAAGAAAATTATTACAATTATAATTTGCAAAACATATTCATATTGTATTTATAATTGAACAAAAAGGCGAGACATTCAGTAAGTTAGTATGGAATAAAATTAAAAAAAAATTAAAAGTTCACTACAGTGACTTTAACAAAGTATTTACTATGTCCATGGAATACCTACATTGATATAAATTTTTAATTTGAACTCTTTGAATCACCTGCTCTTCTCCGCTCTGATTCAACACTGACATCCTACTCCCAACAGCCAATAGGTTGTCCTTTTCAGCAAATACAAATGTCAGTCTACACTAGACAAGTATCTACTGCAACCTGTAAGTTATAAAAGAGCTACTTTATAAAATAAAAAGATGGAAGTGTTATCTTTAAGTCATTAGATTAAAATAGGTAAATGGGTGTTAGTAGAATGTGGACTCAATTTAAGAATATGGTACTCAACAATAATTAGATAGTGTCATTACTCCAACCTTAATGGTCTTTAACTTCAATGTAAATGATAATAAAAAATTTTGTATTAATAAAACATATTTGCTTGAAAAAAATATTGAAATTATAATGCAAAAGTTAGCAGCCTACATTAAAACAGGGCTTCCCACGTAATACGATGACGCCATTTCACCGCAATCACAAATAATTATATGACGTAAAACATAAATCTGAACCATATTTCTTTTTCGAAACAATAACAATTGAAAAAAGTAAAGAATATTTAATTACACGTTGATGTTATATGTCTTATACTATTTTTATTTTTTTCTTTCTCCAACATTGCATACAATATGTGATACAATGAATAAATAAATACCTTTAAGGTAAATTTTACAGTAAATTATACATTAAACATGCTTATCATACACAAATTAAAATATGAAAAAGTCAAACAGTATTAGCCTAGTTGTTTTTACACCAGACTTTTGATCATAAGGTAGTCCGCTCGAATCCGAGATGGGCAACAATCAGTTGTTTTAACATGCAAAATTTGAGGTGAGACATTTGCACTAAATGTCTGGCAACAGGGCACCATCATGTTTCAGATTAAAAGAGACAAGAAGAACTACTGGAACCTCATTACGAAACAGTGGTAGTTTAAAAAAATACTATCAATAGATGAAATGTATTTCTTATGTTGATGAAAAAATTATTTTCATTTTTATATTTGATTTTGAAAAAAAACTCAGAAATGTGTCTGCATTCATACTGTCTATTAGCTTCTTCTTTCCAAATTATTAAGTTTAAGGAATGTGACATTTTGATTATTTTTTCCAAAATACAAATCATTATATAATAAAATATAAATGAGACAACATAAAATTTCTGAGAAAAGCCAATTAACAGAAACACTGGTTTTTAAATAAACAGTTTAAGGTAATTGGAAATTTTAGCCCAATGACATAAGCTAAAATTTGGTACTTGAAAGAAAGTCTGTAATAAAATTAAAAATATAGGTACAAAATTCGATTTTTTTGCACCTAACTAGGAAGCTATGCATTGACACAGATCTTATATGATTAGAACTCTGTGATGAGCATTATGTAAGCAAACAACTACTATTAGAAAGGTGTCCAAGACTCAGGGGTCAATACTTGCCATTTTATTCAATTGTAATATTCAAAGAATGAAAGGTAGTTTAGCATTTTCTGCCAGTAGATATTTTATTTTATGCTTATCTAACTAATCTTGAATTTTGTAAAAACAACCATAATAATAACAGTTTATTGTAGGAATTATTTTAGAATCCTAAATATACCATGATTTTTTTTATTACAATCAAATTTTTATATCCTATACTAAATCAATAGTTGGTAGATACATATAGATAAATTATTAATATTAAGAAAAGTATATTTAAATAAAAAAGTATATACCTATATATAAAATAAAATATTAAAAGATGTTCCAGCTAAAGCTAAAAGTATATAATCCACAAATATAAAAAGATAATTTTCATAATTATAAGGAAGAATTTTATAAAGAAGATATAAAGTGACCATGAACAGTAAAAGTATTAAGCATGCTTGCTTTTTGTAATCTTGCCTATTATGACTTAAAAAAGAACCAATGCTACATTTATAAAGATTTATTTTATTTTTTCATTAAGGTTTTATATTACACAAATTTTTCACTAAGAAATTTTAGTTCTAGTGAATATAAAAATGTAGTAATATAAATTAAAAAATAAAATAATCATCAAATTTTGTATGACTGTCAACTAATTGTGGCAAGTAAGAATGTTAAACGATGAATTTAAGAGTGGTTCCTATTATCATATATATCATTGCAAATTTTGTCTTTTGTGATTACAAATGCTTTTGCCACTAATTAAGTTGAAAATATTCTTTCAGTCATTGTGCTTTCTTAATCTTATCATGTAATGTTATTCATTTCAAACTTATTTTATTTAGATCTGGCCAACACTTGACTGCCATCCCACCTGCTGGTAAGTGGTGATGCAGTCTTTGATGGTAAGCATGCTAGCTCAGAATTTAGCTCAGAACATTATAATTAATTTTAATTCTACTACATGTAGGTGATAATCAAACATATTTTATTCATGGTTAACATTATTGTTTACCTGTTTTATAAAGTTAGGAAAGTATTCTTTGTTTTAAGAAAAATATATTCACCTTTGGAAATAGATATGAAATATGTTTTAATTATGATGAATATCAACACTTCCAAAGTAGCACATAAATAATTGCAGATAAAGACTTTTAATGAGTTTTTTTCTTGTATAAACAAATTTTCAATTAAATTTAATATTTTTAAACCATTTCTTTATTTTTATTAAAACATTACTTCAAATAAAACAGGATTTCAAATTAATTTTACTGTTCTGATAAAGATCTATTAAACTTTAGTAAATGAAATGAAATTAAAATACCTTTAAACTTCTACTTTAATGAACTATGTCTTCTATAAGATTCCCAAAATTATTATTCTTGTAATTTACTCAATAAATTAATGCAACTTAAGACAATAAAAAAATTATAAAACATTGTAGTATTGATGATAACAAAATTTACTTATCTGTTTTAAGTCAGGTTGATATTTATGTAATAGTAAACACTGATTTGAAGGTGTTAACAATAACTTTTTGTTATATGTATCTCAACAATGACTCAACCCAGCTTTGACAAGTTCACAATTTGACATTTTATCGACGAAAAAACAATCCTAACTGCAAGATTAACGAGTGTTTCAAACAATTCCAGCGATCACAATCTATTACGTTTTTATTAAAATATAAACGGCTATGCGTCAAATTATCATTTCTGTCACTTTATATATACCTAATCTAGGAAAATAGTGCGTCCGCCAGCTGCCATTCAAAAGAATATGTGGCAAAAGTCAAACTTTCATTTCGTACAAGGATGCACTAAAAATAATTATAAACACTTAAGGCAGCAGCATTTTCTATTAAGAAACTTAAGCTTTTCTAGGTTCTTCACCTGTTTCCATTTTAGGAGAAAATAAATCGATGTTTACCTTACGTCTTCTCTCAGTGCAAATCTTTTTCTATTGCAGAATAGACACTGCTAACCCTTCTGCTAAACTCGGAGATAAATCCTTTCAAATGGACCTACAATATGGTAGACGATTCAATTTAAAGCAAAATGCAAAGCTGAAATAAATACAACTGTCCCGAAGATATTTTCTGCGAGTTACTATACATTTGTTTTATGAAATGGCCTAATCTTTTACAAGATTCCGTTCTGTGATTCCATAGACAAGTTTTCTTACTTTTTAATTTCGAAAAATGAATAGGTAATTTTCCACTTTCCTCAAGGATATCTTTTTTCGAAATAACTAATACAAAATGTAACATTGATTAACTAAAATAGTGATTTATGAAATGATGTATTAAGTATTTTTTGGGGAAATTATTTTTAGTCTATAGTTTTATAAAATATTTGACAGATCAAAGAATTTGATACAGAAAAGAAAGTAACAGCATTTGTGAAGTTTGAACAGCATTTTACAGATTGAGATTGAAAAAACAGAGTGTATAAAATCAAGACCTTTGTCTCCAATAACTTTTTTTTTAACTAGCTTGTTCAATTTTATTCACACCTTGCTTGCTCTATCGGAGAATAGACCAATTAAAATTTAATTATATTAAGGAGATGAAGATATTCATTCAAACCCAATGATCACACTCGCCTTTTTACTAAAGTTTTGTAAGACGCAGCTGCATAGACATGTATTAAGGAAAATATTAACATACACGCGTAGAAAATTCGGATCAGAGCAGGAATTAATAGGTGTACCTACTATACTATAATCACTGTATATTGCCTGCTCCCAAGGTTTTGTAATGTACATTTACAAGCATAAAATGGAGCAAGTATTAGACATGTGCAATATAGATAGATACACACCGATGCTTGCTCTTTTGCTTTAGCTCGGCAATAAATAAGCGCAATCATATGTTGTTTCTGCGATTAGAATGGTTAGGCAGCTAACTGATATCGAGACTGCCAGACGTGTTTACTTCAATTATTTTCACAGCATCTTGTCGTACGGCATTTTGTTGTGGGGTAGTGCATCTGATATAAATTCGTTTATTTGGAATTTCTCGACAACGCCAATGTGTGGAGTTAATACTGTTGATAAATAATCTTTCCGAAACGGTGGTACCTTATGATCCTATACATGCGTTACAATCGCGACACAATAATTGAACACACGTCTAACGCTACTTGCCAATAATGATAAAAACTATAAAGTTAAAAAAAATCTATAAAAAAAAATTTGAAACCAAAAATTAAGTAAAAAAGAAACAAAATTTGCAACAGCCTACACAACTACAACTGATTGATTCGTAGATTCAGAGACTTTTTCATTCGTTGCCGCAGTGTCGCATTACAAGTCTTTCCTTCTAACAGTATGTTTTATCTCTTCTAAAGTCGTTCCTGCCATTCATATGCTTTATGACCTTTACAAATGAACTTTACGTTACAGTTTTATACGTAAGGGTGTTCTAAATATGTCTGTTTTGGAAAATTTAATAACTCTGTAAATATTGATGTTTAAAGATTATAAACGTTTAATACAATTTTAAAAACTTATACTCTATATGTCTGTTCATATATTGTCGCGATGGTAACGACACGCTGTATATTTATAATATACAGGGATGCTTTTCTAAGTGTTTTAACGTCAGTTAAACATGTTATTTTCTCTAATAGCATATGCCGCAGAACTTAGTCTATTAGCAAGTTTGGATATATGA